GAAGAGCGCAATGATGGTGCCAACTTGGGCCAGCGAAGCAACGTTCTCCACAACTAGGCTGAAGAACAAAAGGGCAGCAACTTGTCTGTTCCCCTTCCCCCAATTCCCCAGCACTGTTCCCATCCCCACAATTCCCCAATAAAAATCTTTAAAAAAAAAAAAAATGCGAACAACAAAAGTAGGTTAACTAATATATAAGTTCATTTATAAAGTGCTCAGAAGTGTCTGGATAGAGCATGTACTGTTAGGTGTTTAGATAAATACCTTCAGATAGCTATTGTATTTCATCAATAAAGCTTCTCCTATGCCCCCAGTTCCCTTACCCCACCCTATATAAACTGGGTACAAATGAGATTTGAAAACCAGTCTCCTTCAAAACTCTCAAGCCAGCTCCTTGTGAGAAATATATTTAGCATATCTGAGCACCTTGGAGGAGTTTTATCAATTTCTTGAAAATCAAAAATCAAATTTTCTGTCTCCAACAAAATCATTACACCTCTATTTGACAATTAATTTCAAGTTACTTCTCACAGGACAGCAGGCATATTAATCAACAATATTAACATACTGAAGTCAGACAAACATTCAAGATCTACTGAGTGTAAAAAACCAAGATACAAGGAAACAGTACAATATGATCTTTTTATTTTTAAAGAGAGAGGAGGCGGAGGGAGAGCCTGGAAAAGATATGTAGCCTGTGAACAGTGGTTTTATCTCTGGGCAATGATTTTTCTTTTTCTCCATTTTGTTTTTCTGTTCTTTAAAAATTTTCCAGATATTTCTAGAATATTCAACAAGGCAGTATACTAAATACAACATTTCAAATTATATATGAACTATATTAATGTTCTGTAACTATAATAAAGGATGACTACTATTTTACAAAGATATTGAGGAAAAAGCACAAGATAAATTTTAAATTAGCAAAAAGGAAGGAAAATAGAGATCAACATCATACAATTCTGTGCCAGAATCTGTGCAAAGCAACTCAAATGTACGTTCATCCTTAACACTCCTATTACTTCATTATTTTCATTTTAGTGAAAAAGATACTTGACCAGCCAAAGCTAAAAATGGTAGAGCTGAGTGAGACATGAATCCCAGTTGTCTCCAAAACTCAAGCTTTGCTACATTGCACAACCATTACCAACATAGAGAGAAAAGGAATTAAATTTACTCTCCATCAGCAAAATAGATTTTCCTACAAGATTAAAAAGAAAAAAAAAAAAGGAACACACAAAAAATAAACTTACGCATACCTCTACTTCATCTCCTTCACTGATTTCTTTTTTTATATCAGGTGGTGGTGGTAATCTAACTTCATTAAATGGAACCTGACGTTCTGGCTGCCAACTGAAGGATTAGAAAAGAAATGAACAGTTTTGTTATATATTATTCTAATAGCCCCTAACATGGAAGCTATATAGTCTATGCTTACTGCTGTACATTTTTCATATGAATCATTTTTTCCTACTAAAGAAAAACAATTTTCATATATTTTTTCCAATTAATTAGTTTTTGAGGTAGAACAGATTTTGCATGACTGTTGATGCTTATAAAAAATTGTCATTAAAAATAATAACATATTACCTGCGAAATTACTCATCATAAGGGAAAGGGAAATACTGCAAATGAAATAAGTTTTATTCATAGTAATGACTTAGATTCGAAATAATATCCCATCAATACTGCTGGCCAAATTAACAGCAATGGGATCAGCTTATTTCAAACACATTTACAACTATGTGACCCGTTAAAGCAACATAATTTCAGAGATTATAAAACAATATAAACTGCTTAATTCCTTTTCAGTGTGCATATTCACAGAAATACAGAAAATTACTCAATTATTTTGAATAGCTCAATTACAAAAGATTTAATTTTCTCACATAGAATTTATCTTTTCTACAATGAACATATACATGATTAAAACCTATAAAAAAGCTTACTTTTAATCTCTGAAGCAAATATGTATCAAAACTACTAATTCAGGTATTGCTTAATTGGTATTTTTTGTGTTGCATTTTATAAACTGTGTTGATGAGTAACTTCAAGTTCTAATAGGTCATTCATATGCCTTGGAGTTATACCAGCACATATAAAATGTTCCTATAGCTTCTGCCAGTGAGATGGTAAAACAGTAGGAGACAAGCAAAAAGAGTTGTGAGTGCTTTCTTTTCACAATTACTGTCTAAATAGCAGCTGTCAGAGACAGAAATGATCACACTTGTTTCTACAAAAAAACAGCTGTTGGGCAGATATCTTTTCAGGCAGCTCCTTGAAGCAGCTTAAAAGTATACAAGTTGACGAGTTCTTTCTTGGTGTTCAGTTATACAATGCTCCGTTATAACCCTTCCTAACCAAGCCCAGCATACTGCCTTTCACATTTTTAGAACATTACCTAGCCAGTTACAGTATCTATAAAATTGATATTGTTCCTTATTAATATCAATTAAAAGTGGTCTAATATTTATTCTACCAGTAGCAACGTAGAAGGCCTGCTACATCATTTAAACATTTTGCATTTTTAAGAATTAAGCATATTATAATTCCATTTGTGTTATCTATTTTTATAAAAATTACTTAACTGATTCATATTCACGTGTTTTTGCAAAGGATCATGAAAAAGGTGATGAGTAAATTGTGGGCAGAAAAACAGGCAAAGAGTTATAAAAACTAAAATTATTTGAATTCACAAGGTAGTCCAACTACCAAAGACCTCACTCAAAAGCAAACAGTTTGGGACTACCCATCTTTAAAATTAAGATCTTTATCAATAAAAAATAACTTACTTGTTCTCAAAAACAACTGTGAGGGAGTCTTCATGAACATCTTTGATAAAGCCCTGCAAAAAACAAGAACATAATTAAAAGCATATCAATATTCAATTAAACATTAGTTAAGTCTAAAAGGTGATTAGATACAAAGACAATATGGGGTACCAAAAAGAACACAGAGCTTGGAATCTGGGTTTGATTTCCATCTCCATCATTTGTAAAATGTATGACCTTGGAAGTTACTCTGAACCTTAGTTTTCACATAGTACCATGACCTCAGTTTCACACACCTACCTTGGAATTAGGAAAAAGAAACATACATGCCTGAAACATCATAGGTATTAGTCAATACTCAAGTGAGGCAGTATTTAGTGCTGTGGTTCAGGCTCTAGGGTAGGGGTGCCAGGATTCACAACCCAGGCTCTATCACTCACATATTCTTTTTTTTTTTTTTTTAGCTGAGCCATCACATATTCTTGAGCATAGTTTTAAGAACCTAACGATTCATTATAGTATCATACCTCATGAAATTATGAGAATTAAATAAAGTAACTAATGTTTACCACAGTACTTGTCATCGAGAAAGGACTCAAATTTATTACCAATATTAGTTATAAATATTCAATTATAGCCCATCTTTAACAAAAGACATGACTACATTTTGAATACTAATCTTGCCATTAATCTTATCTTTTCTACAACTTCTCTTCCTCCTTTGCTTAAAAAAAAAATGGTCTATACTGAGTACATTGCCTCAAAACCATTATGGAATACATGTTCTCAGTAAAAATCAGTAGTCATTTTCTAGCCTTGAAATTAATTTTGAAATTAGTCTTTTTACTTTGTCTTCATTTGACTAATACAGCTGAAAGAACCATAAGACAGGACATATTCAAGCAAGAGCAAAGGACCTAGGTGCAGAACAACTGGTGTTCAAATCCTTGCTCCACCACTAAGTAACCGTGGGCAAGCAGTCCTTGGCACTTGTATGATTACAACTGACATTAAATGACACTTTATCTCTGTCAATCAGAACTGCAAAGTTCTCAACCTCAGTCAAATGCTTACATGCACACTTTGAATCAGTAGGCACTTAGTAAATACTTTTCTAAAGCATCTTTATCATACTTGACTCCATAATGTGCACTAAAAACTAGCTGAGTTAAGCACACACACTTGCAGTACCTGGATAAAACATGGCAGAAAAATGAACACACTATTCACCTCATCTCTCCCAGAAGTCCATTAAATAGTAAAAGGGATTTTAAGGCATAAACCCACAAGAAAAAAGACAATAAAAAGAGAATAATTGCAAACAAAAAACAAAACAAAACACAACAAAAACCTTGGGAAATTTACAAAACATATGAAAGTGGAGTAACAAAAACAATAAAACAAAACAAACCCAAAGCAGCAACTACTAACTATGATTCAGACATTATTCTAAGCAAATCAGCAAACACAAACTGTGAAACAAACTGGCACTGGAAAAACCTTAAAACAAGATCAGCACTAAAACCCCAGAAAATCTTTGGAACATGGAGAGGATGGGCTAACAGGTGGGGCTAAAAATAAAACCATTTAATTTTCTTTGGGACATTTCAATGTAAATATCCTGATGTGTGACCTAAAACTCAGAGTACAGCAGGTCCTGGAATAATGTTGTTTCACTGTAATGTTGATGAGGGGAGGGGGGGCAAAAAAAAAAAATCAATTCCCATCCAGGGCTACTCCTGTGTGGAGTTTGTATTTTCTCCCCATGTATGCATGGGTTTCCTCCTACATCCCACAGATGTGCACGTGAGGTGAAGTGCTAGGTCTCAGCTGTCCCAGTGTGAGTGAATGTGGGTGTAGTGTGAGTGTGCCCTGCAATGGGAAGTTTCATCTTGCACTCTGAACTGTAGGGATAGGTTCCAGCCCCACTAGACGCTGAAATGGATTAGAAAATAATTATCTCAGTTGTTTTTATTAATCTTTCTTAAATATCTGTATAGCTCACATTTCAATGTTTAATATTAGAAGTGGTTGAGGCCTTCATTTAGAAGTTTGGTGGGCCAGCCAAGTGGCGCGTTGGTTAAGAGCTGGTTTGGGACACCAGCTCTGAGCAGTAGGGCCCCGGTTCGGATGCCACATGAGGGCCAGTGACGCTGTACCCTCTACAGCTAATATGGTGAACAGCTTGACCTGGAGCTGGGCTGCTGTGAGTCGCCAGCGATGGCGTAGGTTGCAGCTCCTGCTGCAGTGGGCTGCCATAAGCTACTGTGTGTGGCCGGCGTGAGCTGCCAAGAGCCCCCGTGAGCGGCCCTCCAGAGGCCGGCAACTGATCTGCCTCACCCGGGAAGAGCGCAATGATAATACCAACATGGGCCAGTGAAGCAACGTCCTCCACAACTAGACTGAAGAACAAAAAGACAGCAACTTGTCTGTTCCCCTTCCCCCGATTACCCAGAGCTATTCCCCTACCCCAATTCCCCAATAAAATCTTTAAAAAAAACGAAAGAAGTTTGGTGACGTTTCTGTAATCAGAAATATGCTTTAGGAAGGCAACTCTTGTTTATGTATCAATTAGCCTATGGTAAATAAAACTGGTTTGGTTGTAGGTCTCTTTGCTTAGCTGCAGTTTACAAGAAACTATCGATGATATTGAGGACATACTGTATTTGCCTTTCAAAAGTGCTATAGTAGCTCCTGTCTTGCAATTCTAGAAACATTTTTGATTCCTCGTTCTCCTCTCAAATCTAAAAATTAAGAACGGCCATTCCAGTTCAAGTTCTGATTATCTGACCATGCTATAATAATGATGTCCTGGCCAGTTTCTCCGTTTCTAGCAGTTCATCCACACATCCACTTGCAGCAGTCATTTTTGGTCAGCCCTTTCCTAGTTATGTTATCAGCACATCTATCTTTATTGTACGCTCACCATTTCTAAGGAACATTTCAGAAACTGAATTTTCAAGTTCATGAATATTACAGTAAAATATACCTTGCCATCAGAGGTTAGTCATCCTTTCAACTTCACTAGTCCTTCACAACTTTCAGAGTTTGGGATGTTTTGTTAGTTCATCTGTATCATTTCTGTATAATTTATATGGTGGATCAGTTCAAATCAGAGCTCCAAGTCACTGGGAAATTCTATTCTCCATTATAATGAAAATCTTTTATTTTTTTCCTATGTAAAAGTCAGTGTTTATTCGTCTCCCTACCCCATCCCGACTTTACTTCCACCACATCAGCATTGGCTTTGTTTGGGTACACATTTTTCACAAACTTGAAGGAAAAACACAGCTCTGGACACTAACTCTTACTGCTAATATCCTTCAGGCAAAAGATTAAATGGATTAAGGACCACAACCAGTCCTTAAAGTGCATTTGGGCTGTAGTCAACAATTAGTAAATATGTTCCAATCCCCAAACCCTAGATTCTAAGGATAAGGTACTTCTAGTGGCCAGATCTGTGTCATAATAAATTGTGTCCATTCGATGCAGGACTCAGTCAATACTTCCCAAGGTATTTTGATACTCTCCATGTCAACATAATGATGATGGGTATCTTTTATACTCGAGACCCAAAATGGCAGGGTTGGATCTTTGCGAAAATCGTTGAGTCAGAGGACACCAAATAACAATGGCCACATTTGTCTGCAAATGGTATGGGAGGAGGGGGGTAGCTTTAGGACTAAGTCTCCATTGCTCTGTCTTCTGGGTAGTAGTCCAACCTTTGGGAATTTTATCTCTCTCTTCTTATTCACACTCATCTGGCCCAGAAACCATATTTCTCAGAACAAAACTTTTCACATTTCTTTTTCTTCTTCCCGTACATATGCAAATATGGAATATTCCAAGGCATCTTTAAAATATAAAATGGTCCCTTAATCTGTTCATTCACCCAGTCCAAGATATGTATTTGAAACTCTTAATAACTTAAAATAATCATAAGTAACAAGACAGTGTAACACATCTGAACTGTAAAGCTTCATCTTCTGTCTGGAGCTCTTTTCATTAAATTATCAATCAGATGGTAAAAGGCTTTTGCTAATTCATAGTTTTAAACTCCAAAAGATTAACTCTGGTAGCAATCCTAATTTGAAGAAATAAGGCACCTTTCCGAAAAAGTCTAGTTAAGGCAACATTCCAGAACAAACATCAAAATCTAGTTCACAAATGGAAAGGCAGCTATCTTGTCCAAAACATACATTCAAGTTAAAATAAAATTTTAATGTTTAAAGTACTGATCCACTTATCAGAGACTTTGCTTAACCTATGGCTTAGGAATCTAGAGATGCACGAATCTCTTTGAGAACATTTCCACTAAATTCTTTAAGAACGTATCATCCTAGTCTAGAAAAATTCCTGTAACTGCAAGGTTAACTATCATTTCAAATTTGTCTTGTTACTTTAGATTTTTCAAAAATCCACTAATGACTTCCTACTAATGGAATTCATTACAACCCTCAATTTACATTTCTTATAAAGGGAAACAGAAACTTAAAAACCTTAATGCTCAGCAAACTACTAACCGAAACAAGACAGCCTAAATCCTCACCTAAAGTAAGATTCAGAGTGGAAGACCAGATCCAAAAACCCAAGATTTATGCCCTAAAGCTGTAACTCTTCAATTTCAAAATTCTTCTTAAAAAGTTTGCTGATTGTCAATAGACTGAGCAAGGAACAGTACAATCTTCCTAAACAGAGTATAGATTTTGAAAGTCTCCAATCTCAAGAGAAGCAAGGGATCCATCACGAATTAAATCTCTAACTCACACTTATTCTCTTATGCAAGTAAAAAGTTCTCACACATTACTGCCTCCTTCCAACTGGATTGAGCATTCTTATGTAAGATTTACTCCAGCTGTAACTAACACCTGTCACTTTTTCTTCTTTAAGTCTTTCTCAGGATCACTGGTGTGAAATTCAGAGATTTTATTTTCCAATTTAACACAACAGTGAAATAACTACATTTTTTATGCCTTCTCCAATGTACTGAATTATAACTGATGGCTTAATTACTGAAGCAAACTCGTGATAAAATACTGTTGTCTAAAACTGATTAGAATTCTCTATATATCAG